GAGCACATCAAAATCTAAAAATAGTAATAAATTTTTATTGGTCAAATTTTTGATCAACAATTACTCAAAAAAAAAAATCAGCTGGAAGGTCGATTTTCCTAGTACAGACCCCATATAGTTATTTCATGAATTTTTTTTTCTTTACACAAACAATCATTATTGATGTTTTTGACGCAGACCATCTACACCCAATAAGCCAATTATTCAACTGAAACTAAAACAATTATACTCTCAATTTGCGTTCACAAAAAGAGTAAAGATTGCTTGTGACAAAGAGAAAGAAAACCAGTATCAGAGTGACAATAATGGAAATAAAGTCCTGGCTGAGTTGAAAAATATAAAGAATCATGATGACCATAATGATCAAAATCAAGTTGTCGCTGTAGATTTGCATGAATAGCTGGAAAACATTCTGAAAGTAAATGACTATCTTTGAGAAATAATTACTAAACATTTGCTTATATATTGGACCTTTTTTCCTATTGTTTTTATAGTTTTCGATAGAGGAAATCAGGATACAGATTTTAAGCCCATATATTGCAAAAAACGAATTTGAAAACACTATGATTAAATATATCGGAAAGGTGTTGATGGACTTGTAAGTTAATTTTTAATAATAGTATTTATAATGTTATTCTAATTCATGTGTCATACTAATAATCAATTTATTATTAGCATCCACAAAATAATTGATGTGTCCAGCTATATTATGCATATTGATACTGTTGAAAGAGATTGGATTGTTAACAAAATATCTCCATTGTTTATTTATCTCGAGGCAACATTATTAATAAAATACAATTTCACTGGTAATTGGTATTTTTTAAGATTTTTTTTGTAACTTATAAATGTAATTACTTATGTACTCAAACATATAGGATTGAATAGATATTGAACCTACACATCAACATCTTGTTATTGAAGACAATACATCAAACAAAGACCAATAAAAGCTGATATAGTTGGTGTCCGATTGTCAGATAATCATCAGGTTATATTTTTAGAAATGAGTGGAGCTCCTACTGATTTTTTAAAAAATCATCCAATCAGTGATGCAAATAAAACACTCCAGGAACGAATGGACTCCTTAAATTCTGTTCTCTTAAATTTCCTTTGCTATGATGTTAGGTTTGTATGGAAAGTTCATTCTTTAAGTATTCAAGGAATAAGTGAGTATTATTTTTTGATTGCTGCTTAAATTAAAAGTAGATCACCATTCATATCTTTTTGTTTATTATGTGGTAAGGGGATCGCCACACATTAAGGTGATTATCCTTAAGAGGGAAAGATGACTATGTTGATGAAGAAATATTATCAGCAGTTTTTCCACTTAGCTGGGATTTCCACTTCTGATTTCATGAAATATTTAACATGATGGAATACATAATACTATCTGTCATGGAATATTCCAATGTCATAAAAGAGTTGATAAAGCACCCAGCAGATTCACAAGAATTTTCTATTCGATACTGTATCACTTATAAATAGATAACTTGGTCAACAGTTATTCATTAACAACTTTGGAATATTAGAAATTTTATTATAAAAAAAAAATAAACTGAGAATCTTTTCTCTTATTACATTTATACTAATTGCAAAATTGGTAACCTCCTCAATCACTGACTCAAGTAGAATAATAATATATTTATTTAATAATTTTTAAATTTTGATCATGACTCAGGGTATAGGAAGCATCTATTAATGTAAATGATTTCCCGCTCAAAGGAATTTACAAGAGTATTTAAAGTTTACTTGGTAAGATCCAATTCTTGGATATGGGTTTTCGTAATACTTGAGTTGATCCCATGCTAAAATTGAGATCGCCTCTATGAAAGAGTTTATATTTTTCGTAGCTAATCGCGAAACCACATATATTTTATTACATAAGTAAAAAATAACTATTTATTAACCATCTAAAGTCCACACTCTCTATAATGAACCTCTCTATAATGAGCACTAAGTAAAATCTCTCTATAACAAACTTCACTTTTGTCCCTGATTCAATGTTTTATAATTAATTTCTCTCTCTATAACGAACATCTTAGTAAACTCCCCCTATAACGAACAAAAGCAGAAAAATTACATATAGGGGCAAAGGGTTCATTATAGAGAGAGTGGACTGTAGTTGCTATTAAAAAAAGTGTATTTTTAAAAAAAAAATAGCGCCAGTTACAATGCAATCATTGCAACTCGATCTTTACTGAATTTTTGGAATTGTGATGTTAAACAAATTATTAATCCCTGAAATTCTTGGTAATACCAATATTCACTTTGTCTGGTTTTGTTGCAGTATGCCCCATTTTTATTTTTATTTTCAAAATTCATATATCCATTCATATTCATGTCACCAATTTATTTAATTATAGGAAATTTCAGATATATATATATATACAGTATTATATAATGGATAACAATTCATGATCAAAGGTAAAATGTTGATTTGATGAAGTCAATGAAAAGTTGAAAAGTAAATGATATATTAGACTGTATAACAAAAAACCAAGCCTGTGTATTAAAAACATTCAATAAAGAAATACTATATTAATTTTTTTATTTATTATAAACATTTTATTTTTATCAATTTGGAACTAAATTTCCTTCCCTCCGATATTAATATTTGTTTTTCAAATTTGCGTAACGATCTTCAAGCCAATAAAATTTAATTTTTGCGTGATATCTGGAGGGGAGATCGTCACATAATTTAGCCAATGAAATCAAATGTCCACTATGCTGACAACGACCAGATTTTTATTTATAGATTAATCGGCTGAATCTCAAAGAACATTTTCGTATTAGAAAGTGGTGTCCTTAGAAACAATTTTTTATATCAGAAAAATTTTATCAGCTATCAATAGCCGATTAACCGTTTTAGGGATAATATGTAATAATATAATACTAATACCTAGGAGTAAGTAAATAAATGGGGGACAACTTAAGGTTACACGCATAGATCTGGTGAACCTAAAGCTGTCACGTCACAATAAATGGAACACGAAACACGTCATATTATAACATAATAAATTTCAAAATTACCCGCAGTTAATACCAAAATCCTTGAAACCTTTAAACTTCAGCTTTATTTTTATATATTTTATATATGGCTACCTTTTCTACAACTCCAACTCTTAAAAAAAAGGTTCGGTTGAAAAAATTAGAAATGGCAAGAATTTATCATGTTACATGGGTCAAAATTATATTAATATTAAATATGTAAAATCTTGACATTAATAGAAACACATGAAACTGTTCCAGGAGCTAAAAAATCAAAAATGCAAGAAGCTTTGCAACAAATTTAAAAATTCAACCTGATCTCAGAGAAAAGTTGGTATATTTCTTCTTTTGAACATGATAAATATCTAGATGGACTTTAATTTATGATAAAAACAAAAAATTTTATAAAAAATGGATAGTTTTTATTCATGGATAAATGAGGTCTGTACTAGGAAAATCAAGATACCAGCTTCTTTTTTTTTCTTGACTTTTTACTCAACAATAATTTCTAACATAAGAATTTATAAATTGGTGAAAAAATTGAACCCTGTTTGCATAGTAGAAAAATGAGATACAAGGATTGGAATATTTCCTCTATATATTAAAAAAGATACGTGTAACCAAATTTATAAGAGTTGTCACCAAAAATAGATTTTTTGTCTGGTAGCTTGATTTTCCTAGTACAAACCCCAAGTTCTTTGAAGAAAAAAAGGTTATTTAGTGGCAAAAGATCTGCACTTTTCACATATTTTTAGAGTCCAATTATTCAAGTTCCAATCTTGCATCTATTCTAAAGGATATCTGTTCAAGCACTTTACTGGATCAACAGACCTACTGCAACTATTGTGGACATTTCTTCTTTCATTAGGCAAAAGATTAAATTGAATGGTGAATTTTATGGAATAGGATTAAGAGAGATTGATGAAGGATTGGGATTGGCTTTTTGGAAGGGAAAACAATACAGGAAAAAAATATGATAATAAAATGGTATGGGATGCTGATATCATTTGAGGTAAGTGTGTTAGGAAAATTGTAAAAAGATACTGATTTATGTAATTTCATTAGGGATTTTCAAAGAAAGTGCAATATCAAAAGTGGAAACAATATATATAATGCAAATAACTGCAGCTTCCTGCATTACTGGAATTTACTATGAATAGTGGTATAAATTCTGAGAATAAAGAAGGTAAGCTATTTTGCAAAATAAAGGTCAAGCTTTTATTTGAATTATTTATATGAAAGATCACCAAAAACATGGAGATAGCATGATAGATACATACATATTTATTTATTTAGTTCATTTTAGCATTTTTGTGAACAATTTTAGTATTTTCATTTATTTCTATGATTTGTGGTTTATTTTTAATAGAATTTATTGAATGAAAAGTTTATTGTTTATGATTCAAATATTTTTTTTATGAATAAGGATTATTACATGTTGTGATCAATCTTTATATTAAAATTAAAAAACCCACATGAAGTGCACAGTCATAGTAAATCACTTATTATTAATTTACAGTTAAATGTGACTTTACCATTAATATAGCTTTCTATATATTGGTTGCAATATTTTTCATCATCTTTGAGATAAAAAAAAATGTAATTGTTTTTCCTATATATTAATATTTTTTTTAATGGTTTATATACATATATATATATTAATTACCTCTTTATATATTCACCATTCACACTCTCCTTATTACAATTTCGTTATTGTTAAAAATTTTATTTGCAAACAACTACTACTAGAAACTAGAAATGAATGTATATATTATTTTATGCTTAAGTCATTTTCGCTCCAAAATTGACAATTCTCAGAAAATATAAAAGTATTAGTCTTGGGAACTCAACTTTGGTGGATCGGCTGCTTAAAACACTCTTATATGAATGCATATCATTTTTAATTTTAGAAGGCGTGACAGTTTTGGATTCACAAGATCTATATGTGTAAACCTGAGTTGCCCCCCAATTAATTTACTTACCCCTAGATAATACTAACCAAAATTCTGATTGGCCAATTCGAATTTCACGCACAAACGTAATTTAATATTGGTCATGCATCAACAGGATCGGGAAAACTTCATTGATTGTGACCGACCGTAAATACTATTAAAGTGTAACATAATTAAATTTAAATCCAAAAAAGACTGAAATATGCCACATCATTATTAAACAGAAAAAATGCACCAATCAACTTTCGATATTCATGTTAATATGATCGATCGATTAGGCACGCTCACATACAATAGAGTTAGTTCCCAGTCCTGTATCAATTATGCAGAATACATCCTGTTATGGTAAGAGTATTTCTTTTGAGTTAATATGTGCCAAATGACCTAGTTGTTTGTTTATTTTATTATCAGGTCTAGACACTGCAGGGCGTGGTATTGTGTCCCGATAATAGTAAATTTTTCGTAATGCAATTGCATTGTATGACATAACGTTGGCAAGTGTTTGAGATACTCAATTACCTATGAGACTGTTGTTTTCTAAAATACGTCCCAGTCAAACTTCTTCGTAGTACCGGGAAATCACTTCTCATAAACATTAATCACAAAAGTCTAAACGGAAACCTATTTGGATACAAAGGGTTTTTTGAATATATCTTCTCTTAGTGATAATTAATTATTCGTCACCTGCAGGTTATTATAAATATTTTGACAATAACTTTTTATTTACCCGTATTATGAAAGTATTGGATTAAAGTTCATGAAAATATCTAGTATTGCTGGTTTGAATTAGAACTCAAAAATCCTAATAGCTTCAAAAAGAAAATGTTTAATTTAAAGAATTAATTTTGTGTAATAAAATAATAATTGAAGGCTTTCGTAAAGCATGATTGGTTCCATATAAGTATTGTGATCACGTTACAACGATTAATGTTAATGTATCACCACCACTTAATATTAACCTTTTATGAAACATGTTTGCAAACAACTACTACTAGAAACTAGAAATGAATGTATATATTATTTTATGCTTAAGTCATTTTCGCTCCAAAATTGACAATTCTCAGAAAATATAAAAGTATTAGTCTTGGGAACTCAACTTTGGTGGATCGGCTGCTTAAAACACTCTTATATGAATGCATATCATTTTTAATTTTAGAAGGCGTGACAGTTTTGGATTCACAAGATCTATATGTGTAAACCTGAGTTGCCCCCCAATTAATTTACTTACCCCTAGATAATACTAACCAAAATTCTGATTGGCCAATTCGAATTTCACGCACAAACGTAATTTAATATTGGTCATGCATCAACAGGATCGGGAAAACTTCATTGATTGTGACCGACCGTAAATACTATTAAAGTGTAACATAATTAAATTTAAATCCAAAAAAGACTGAAATATGCCACATCATTATTAAACAGAAAAAATGCACCAATCAACTTTCGATATTCATGTTAATATGATCGATCGATTAGGCACGCTCACATACAATAGAGTTAGTTCCCAGTCCTGTATCAATTATGCAGAATACATCCTGTTATGGTAAGAGTATTTCTTTTGAGTTAATATGTGCCAAATGACCTAGTTGTTTGTTTATTTTATTATCAGGTCTAGACACTGCAGGGCGTGGTATTGTGTCCCGATAATAGTAAATTTTTCGTAATGCAATTGCATTGTATGACATAACGTTGGCAAGTGTTTGAGATACTCAATTACCTATGAGACTGTTGTTTTCTAAAATACGTCCCAGTCAAACTTCTTCGTAGTACCGGGAAATCACTTCTCATAAACATTAATCACAAAAGTCTAAACGGAAACCTATTTGGATACAAAGGGTTTTTTGAATATATCTTCTCTTAGTGATAATTAATTATTCGTCACCTGCAGGTTATTATAAATATTTTGACAATAACTTTTTATTTACCCGTATTATGAAAGTATTGGATTAAAGTTCATGAAAATATCTAGTATTGCTGGTTTGAATTAGAACTCAAAAATCCTAATAGCTTCAAAAAGAAAATGTTTAATTTAAAGAATTAATTTTGTGTAATAAAATAATAATTGAAGGCTTTCGTAAAGCATGATTGGTTCCATATAAGTATTGTGATCACGTTACAACGATTAATGTTAATGTATCACCACCACTTAATATTAACCTTTTATGAAACATGTACAACTTCAAAATTTAAAAAAATCTTAAGTACATTGTTTTCCTAATTCTAAATTTTCTTCCCTCTGCAATAATTTTTTCTTTCTTTCTTTTTCATTTTTATTAAAAAGGGATTTTTTTCGTAAAAATTTCCTTACTTTTTATTATTTTGCCCTTTATAAACCAATTAATTGGTTTCGGTGGTCTTTGGATTTTAATTAACATAGTGTATTTATATTCATTACATTCTTTTATGCTTCTTCATCTTCTACTCATTAATAAGCGTTTTTAATCCTTATCCCACCACATACCCTTCCTTTAAATTAACAATTTATCATTAAATTTCGTACTTTCCTTTTTTAAAAAAAAGTAATAAACCAATTTCCTTACCCTCTAAGCTAAATTCCTACTTCTTTTCCTTTTCAATAAATCACTTTCATTCTTTTCGCTTTTTAAATTCATAATTACATCATATCAACATTTACTTTTCTTATCAATATAATTTCATTTTTAATTTTAGCATTATTTTAGCAGTATTATACAAACATACACATATATAAATTAATTTTTATTTAACTAATTTTTTCATTAGACGATTGCCATTTTTTAAAAAATGTCAATTATGAAGAATAAAATATCAGTAACAACATGGGCTTCTGTCATAATAATAATAATAATAATGCTCAATATTTTGATGATGACGGGCGAGGCTTCAAGTAGTAATAAAGAAGATGCCTTTTTAATAGTAAGTGGTGGGCAGGACTCACCTGCTAGCATAAATGGTAGATATATATTATATAGACGACAAGATCCAGAAAAACCAGCCGAGAAGCCAGCTGAAAAACCAGCCGAGAAGCCAGCTGAAAAGCCAACTAAAAAACCAACTGAAAAACCAGCCGAGAAGCCAACTGAAAAACCAGCCGAGAAGCCAGCTGAAAAACCAGCCAAGAAGCCAGCCGAAAAACCAGCCAAGAAGCCAGCCGAAAAACCAGCAGAGAAGCCAGCTGAAAAACCAGCAGAGAAGCCAGCCGAAAAACCAGCAGAGAAGCCAGCCGAAAAACCAGCAGAGAAGCCGGCCGAAAAACCAGCAGAGAAGCCGGCCGAAAAACCAACTGAAAAGCCAGCCGAAAAACCAGCTGAAAAACCAGCCGAAAAACCAGCTGAAAAACCAACTGAAAAACCAACTGAAAAGCCAGCTGAAAAACCAACCGAAAAACCAGCTGAAAAACCAGCTGAAAAACCAATTGATGTTCCAAAAGCAAAACCGACTGGAAAACCAATTGATGTTCCAAAAATAGATGATCCAAAAACAATAACAACTGATGCTCCAAAAGTAAAACCAAAACCAACTGAAAAACCAATTGATGTTCCAACTGATGTTCCAAAGGTAAATGATCCAAAAACAAAACCAACTGATGCTCCAAAAGTAAAACCAAAACCAACTGAAGAACCAATTGATGTTCCAACTGATGCTCCAAAGATAAATGATCCAGATGATCCAAAAACAAAAACAACTGAAGAACCAGCTGAAAAACCAACTGAAAAACCAATTGATGTTCCAACTGATGTCCCAAAGGTAGATGATCCAAAAACAAAACCAACTGAAGAACCGGCTGAAAAACCAACTGAAAAACCAATTGATGTTCCAACTGATGTTCCAAAGGTAGATGATCCAAAAACAAAAACAACCGAAGAACCAGCTGAAAAACCAACTGATGTTACAAAAGTAAAACCAAAACCAACTGGAAAACCAACCGATGTTCCAGCAATTACTAATAACCCTCAAACCAGTGATGAAAAAGAGACCACCACTAAAACGACTATTAACATCGATACACCTACAGTTACCAATACTAACATTGATACACTCACAAATTCACCCGTGGATAGACCTACAGATACCAATACACCTACAAAGACCAATATCAACACAGGTACTAATGCTGATAAAACTTCAACAGCTGATCCAACAGTTACTCCAATAAATGACCCTAATAGTAATAATCCTGCAAAGAGCAATCCTGCAGAGTCTATAACAACGAGCGATAACGGATCAAGCAATACTGAAACCGCAACTGATCAATTTATTCCACCTACAACTTTACCAATCAAGGTGACAACTTTGTCTAAAAATGAAAATGAAGTGGCTACCACTACTACATTTGCACCAGATCTACCTAGGGTTATTGTTAGTGATAATAATGAATCACCGCCACGTAAGCATCATTTTTGATTTTTTTTAAATAGTGTAATCATTTATAAATACTTATTCATTTATATTATAAAATATTTTAAATAGCAAATAGTGTCTTCATAAAAATAAAATTACAACTTCCATGGGATAAAATAGTTGCAAATGATGTTGTACCAGTTCAAATTATGGATTTCTTGCCTAAAGATCTTGCAAAAGCAGGAGGAATTCCATCTGAAGAAATCAAGCCTATTTCATTAGAGGCTTCTGATGGTGGTGAAGTTTTGCTTAATATCGCTATCCCAGGAAATAAAGTTAATATTATTAATGATGTGATAAAAAATCCTACAAGTTCTTTTTATACAAATGCTACTACGCCAGAGTTAAATCATAGCGTAGATTCAACAAGTTTAGGTAAAATTTAATTATAAATTATTATAAATATTTATTTAAAGTGATTGTTTCTTCTTTTTATTTATTATATATTTATGTAATATTTATTTTTTATTTAATATAGTCAGTAGTGAGCCAGACAACAACAACAATAATCTAAATCCAACAGTTAATGGACCAATACTTCCCAATAGTACACAAGGTGATTCATCAGATTCATCAAATAAAGGTTTAGTAATAGGATTGGCAGTAACTGGCTCAGCTTTATTATATGCAGGATTGACAGCATTGGTTATAAGAGCATATAGACGAAGCAAATTAAGATCTTTGCAGCAACAAAATGATGCTAATTATAATTATGGAGCAGATCTTGGAACTGGAATTAATAATGTTAATGATATCGGTGATGGTGGCAACGGCGGTGTTGATATGAGTAACAATGAAATAGGATGGAATAATAGATATTAATATGTAAAAAACATAATAATAATAAAGGAAAATTATATATATATTTACATTTTTCCAAATTTAATTTTATTAATTTTATTATTTGTAAAAAATTAATTGGTTTTACTTTTTAATTTTGTATTTCTAGATAAATATATAGATTAATTATTTATAATTTAATATAAATTTTTTTTTTTTAATAATATAATTTTTTTTATAGTATTGGTATTTACTATTACTATTACTATCATTTATTAGCACCAATAAAAAAAAATCGAAACCTCGCTGCGTCAATCTCGCAGATTTTTTGGTTTTCTGAGAAGAGGAAAGTGAGCAAAGTCAAATTAATTTTTATTAATTCTTTTTTCCTATCGAGTTTATATATTTTACATAATTAAAATAATTAATAGAACCCTTACAAATGAATAGTGTGTCATTGTGACATATAAAATAACGTGTGATTATTCTTTCGTTTATATTTATGGGACTAATATAAAGGCGATACCATATTTATCATCTAAAATATTATTTTTGTTAGTTGCTAATTCGTTACAATCAGTTACAAAGGTACAAAGAAATAATAAAAATCATAATTTTACCTGTGCATGATAATATGGCAAGCTTCTCTGAAACATCATTTCACAAAAGAAAATTATATATTAAATTTTGATTTCATTTCTGTTTTTCTTAAGATAATAAAGTCTATGTTCAGAATCCTTGATAATAATTTCACCTGTTAATTATATACATATATACGTAGTAACAATAATTATAGAACTAAAAAGCGTAGAATAATTAATAAAAAAGAAAGATATAAAAATTTATGCAACATTCGAACCTTATTTTAATAATTGCCACAGGTTCAAGGACCACATTAAGGGCCGGTCCTACAGCCCCAAAAAATATGGGACCAAGACTGGACCGATCCAACTCTAATAAAATTTTCCTAGGAATCAGAAAACTAGATGATTGAACCTTTAAAATGTATAAATAACATTGTAATTTTCTCAACTTTATGCATCATCATCATTACCCATCCATCCCTACAAAAAGTTTAGATACTTATTTTTTACAAAATACTTTAAACATAAGTCAAAACATACTTGAATCAAAAAAGATGATTCACTAATTATTTGCAAAATATGTATGAATATACTTATTTTACAATTAAAACGTTCTTATTTTTTACAATAATAGGAATATAGATATCCTAATTATACACTTAAAATATACTCCTGAATTTTAATAATTCTTAAAACATACTTATTTTCTTGATTTTGTAATTTACTTTATATATCATTAAAGCATACTTGAATTTGAAATACAAATAATAAAATTATTCTTTTTGCATCCAAAGAATTGATCAGATAAATGAATGTATATGACTAAATAACCAATGATTTATTCGATTAATTACACAACAAGGTATAGCATCAAACAAAGTGATGAAAACCAGGGTATAAAATCCTACTATAAAATTCCGGGCATTCTGATAAAATTTTAGAATGCCCAATAAAATTTTAATACAAATTCTTCATTTGAATCATTCTTTTTAGTTTTATTTGAATTGTCCGTTCTATTAGTTCTATTAGTTCTGTTCGTTCCAACAGTTCTAATAGTTCTATTCGTTTTATTCGTTTTATTCGTTTTTATTCATTTTATTTGTTTATAAAATATTAATTCACAGCTTGATTCAGCAAATTCTATATTAATATTAATATTATTGTTAAGTATTTGTAAATTATAAATAAGGCCTATTGCCTTTTACAAGATAATATAAATTACAATAATTATATTTATAATTTATATTACTACTACTATAGTTACTAGTATAGTGCACGCCACAATAACCCATCAAATAAAAATTGACCAACTTTAAAACCTAAAAAGAAAATATTGTGTGCTTATCAAAAAATTAATTGAGATGATATTTGATAGCTTTTGACTAGTTCTACAATCTATCGTTGAGACAATTATAAAATAATTATTGGTTCAGGAGTTATAAGCTTTTGAAAATGATGTAATTTTTATATGTTATATATAAAATTTTCCAAATTTGAAACATGTAATTTTGGCCCACCTCAGGTCACACATAAAAATAGATTTTTTAATTCTGGTAATTGCATTGAATTTATGAATATAAAATAATCCCATTCAAATTTTTTGTTGGAAGTTTCTCTTGAAGAACCTTTGACTTGTTGTGCTAGACATATCTTAGCAACCCAAGATGATTTTAAAAACCAAAAACCCTTACTTCAAGAATTAATTGAAGAAAGAGGACATAAAGTCATCTTCTATCCAAAGTTTCACTGTGAGCTTAACTACATTGAAATGTATTTGGGGGCTGCTAAATGATATGTTAGACAACGTTTTAATTATACATGGAAAAAGTCCTCAAAAGAATGTCCCCAATGCTTTTGATTCTATATCACTGAAACAAAATTAGAAAGTATGTGATGAGAGCCTCAAGACTTAAGGATTGTTACAGAAAAGGATTAATAGTACTACAGGCCGAATATATTGTAAAAAAATATAAGTCACATAAAAGGATTCCAGACAATGTGATAGATGAAATAGATGAATTAAACTAATAATATTTTTATTTTTGATCGACATCTTTAATCATGCCATGTTACCTCAAATTTGTGAATTTTGAAACATTTTGCGCAGCATTTGATAAAAATTTTCTTTAGTTTAATAAAGGTTAGTGCAATTATAAAATAAGCAAGGTGGCTTGGGAAATAAAGATATTTAAAAACTTGTTTAATCTAAATGCACGGGCCAAGGTATTTTTTAAATTTACAAATTTGGGAAATTGATTTGTACTCTATTTAAAGATGTTTTGCAAGTATGTCTGTATACAAACAATCATATGATCGTGTAAAAAAATTTTTTTTAGCCAATTTTCTTTTAAAAAAAAAAGAGGGAAAGAATGGTTCATAAAAAATTTGTTTCTTTAATTAATTTATATCATCGAAATTTATTATATTATCATAGTGGAAGAAATTATGTTTCATTAGGTTTGAATTATTATTTTTTTTCGATAATAATAATATTTAATTATTATTTTTTTTTTTATATTAAATTTTTATCAATATAATTGATAGCAAAGGTAAATTATTATTTTTTTTTCATTTTAATTTTTCAATAAATTATTTATATAAATTATTTACATGTTAGGCTTCTAAGGATGATGCTATTGGTTTCATAGGACTAGGTCAAATGGTAAGATGAATAACAAATACTAAATCAATTAATCATATCAATATCAATATTAATTATTTTTTTTAGGGATTTAAAATGGCCAATAATTTATTTAGAAAATCAAAATATTCTTTAGTAATCTATGACGTAAACAATAAATCCATAGAAGAATTTGCTTCAATTAATCAAACATCTTTATCATCATCCAAATCAATAGTGAAAGCTTCATCACCTTCAGATGTTGCCAAGAAATCTAATGTAATCATAACAATGTTACCTTCTTCAGTTGAGGTCGAAAAGGTTTATTTGAATGATGGAGATGATGAAAGTTTAGTCAATTCAATTGATAAAAACAGTTTTTTGATTGATTCCAGTACTATTGATCAAAGTGTCAGTAAATATGTTGCTAAACAAATCATAAATAAAGGCGCCACTGCTGTTGATGCTCCTGTCTCAGGAGGTAATAATTAAATAATTGTATATAGATCATATAAATGTTTTATATATATGTATACGTTTTTTTCAAATATATAGGAACAGTTGGAGCAGAGGCTGCCACATTAACATTTATGGTTGGTGCATCTACATCAAAAGATTTTGAAAAGGCTAAATCGTACCTAAGCTTTATGGGTAAAAATGTGGTTCATTGTGGTGATATAGGAACAGGTCAAATTGCAAAGATGTGTAATAATATGTTGTTGGCAATATCAATGATCGGTACAGCCGAGGCTATGAATTTAGGTATAAGACTAGGAATGGATGCTAAACTTTTGGCAAGTATTATAAATACATCATCGGGTAGATGTTGGTCCAGTGATACTTACAATCCTTGTCCTGGTATTATGGAAAATGTTCCTTCAAGCAGAGATTATCAGGGTGGTTTTGGTAATAAATTGATGGCAAAAGATTTGAGACTTGCTGTTAATGCTGCTAATGATACTCGTTCCACCATTGTTCTAGGGGCTTTAGTTCAACAAATCTATAATCAGCTTTCTACAAATAAAGATTTTGAGAATAAAGATTTCAGCTCAATATACAAATGGTTAAATAACAAATAATTGGATTTTCAGTAGAATGTATTAAACCATTGGAATTATTAGTTGATTTATAGAAATATTCTAAATATACTTTGTCAAAAATTTGTATTTTTTGATAGATTCACACATCAATATTTTAAAAACCAATTAAAAGAAGTGGATAATAATATATTTGCGTGATATTAGTGTTTTAAATGTGATTTTTATATATCGTCACTTTTCACATCAGGTAAAAATACTAATCACTATCACCACTATTACCCATCCCATCATCACCACAACCAAAAATATTTGACATATAATAAATACACAGCTTGTTTTTTTTGTTTTTGATCCTTGCTCTTTTTTTTTTTTTGCGAATTTATTAAATTTTTTTTGTGCTTAAGGGTTAATATTCGGTTATATAATGAAATTTAATCTTATAAAAAATTTTCTATAAAAAAAAAAAATCAAATGATAAAGAAAAAAAGAAAATTCATAATAAAAAAAACAAGGTTATATACACGAATGTGATAAAAGGGGAAAAAAATTTATACTAAAAAATGGAAAAACGAATTCTGTGATTAATATAATATCGAAAAAATTAAAGGTCAATAAAAAATAATAATGAAAAAAAAAGATAAGCATAATGTATTAAGGAAAGGGGGGAAAAGTCCCCCATTAATTACATTATCATTAATGTTTGTTTTTTTTTTTTAAAGAAAACTTATTAACGAAAATCCCAAATAAATTTTCTTAATTTCTACGATTAAAAATTTTTTTGATGATGTATATATGTAAATGTATAAATGAGACTCAATTCCATAAACCCCCATGACTCAATACCATTATGAAAAATAATAATAATAAAAAAAAAATTCGAAATTAGTAAAATCTGTACACGATGAAAGAAAATTTATCGAATGTGATTTGACTCCATGTTGCTATAATTATTAATATTATTGGGTTTTTTATAATTAAAAAACTCAACTGAAGTTAAGCAGATCTTAAGGTGTCTATGATGTCTTGAAATGGAGCCACAATAACACCTTGTTTTGGGAATATTTCATCCATTAAAACATTCTGTACCAAGTCATTTCCTTCAAAACAACATTCTCTAACAACAGTCACACATAAATCTCTATCAGCAGCTGATAGACTTGTTGAAAGTATGACGTCTGCTGTAGATATTCCAGCTAAAATGATGTGTTTAATATTAAGCGACTCAAGGATCATTTGAAGATCGGTGTTATAAAAGGCATCTACACGACGTCTCTAAATTATTTTATTATAAAAATGAGTGTATAGGTATCATCATCATCATCATCAAATAAATTTTAGACATTAAAGAAAAACTTACTTGAATTACGATATCATGCTAATATATAAAATTTATTTATTTGAGAAAATAATGTTAATATTAATATCAGTGTTCCATTATGAATTCAAATCAAGTTTATAAAAAAATTTAAACCTCTCTTGGTTGTAGTCCATCAATAAATTCGGCTCCCTTGGTTCCTTCTACAAGCCTTCCCGAGTTTTTATAATTTTCAAAGTATCGATTATTGGGTGATACTTCAGGGTAATTTGGTCGAAACTATACAAAAAAAATTAATGTAATGTAATATAGCTTAGACGTATTAAGGAAAAACTCACGCACGCACGTATATGTAGTTTTATGTATTGTTATAAAAAAGCGCTTACGGAAAGGCCAATAGAGATACAATGTAGTTTCTTTTTTTGTTTTGCTGTGTGAACTGCATTAAAAAGGTTCTTAGATCTCGCTAAGAATTGATTGAGAACGTTTGTGGTATGAAACCTTTAAGTACAATAAATATAAGAAAAAATTATATTAATTGAATATATTGAATCACGTGTGTATATATATATTTGATAATAATAATAATTCTTACATTCCAATAACATCATTTTGATAATCACAAAATATAAAGCTATATCATAATAAATCAAAATTAGTAAGTCAGGATTAATTGATTGATTAAAGGAAACATAAATAATCAATAATATTGATAGCAACAAGAATATGATTTTTACGTACGCTGAATTATCAAGAAGGATTGTGGAGGTTAGGGTGGGAACAGGATAAATCCTAGAAGGAGTGTAGGGCCCAATAGGAGAGGGAGACGATGCCCCAAACGCAATAAACGAAGAGTTAGAAGCATTATTTAATGTTAAACCAGTTGCACCGTTTGTTCGACTTGATGTATTTAACGGTGATGGGGAATAATTTGAGTTGGGAGTCTAATAATCACCATCATTATCAAAGAAAAAATATGTTTATCAAGAAATGTGATGATTTAAAAAAAAAATTAAAAAAAAATTAGATAAATATCATAAATCACATAATGATAAAATTTCTTTTTAAAAAAAATAAAGGTTTTTTAAAAAAGAAAATTTTTTTATCACTTTTATTTTTAAAGGAGTTTTTTTAATATAAATTTTTTCTGATTCAGATAAAAATAAACTCACTAAATTCATGGTATTGTTGAAATTTGAATGCTCTGATGGTGTTAAAACGGGATTACCGGTTATCGATTGTGTTGGATTGACGGTTTGTAAAGATATTTCAGGGGTTGCTATTGGCTCTCCAGGACGGAATGGGTGACGATTTTTAAATTTTGAAATCCAACCATTTGAAGCTTGAAACTCACTACGTATTCCATACATCTGAGCAAATTCCAAAGCCTTTTCTTGAAGTTGTGCATCGCTAACTGGTCCATGTGTCATAGGAAGACTAGCTAACCATTGAGCCAGTTGATCTTCAATCTGTGGGAATTTGGGTGATTTCTGCGTCTTTTGTTTTGCATAGTTGGAATTTGGGTCGATTGCCAACCACTTTTCTCTCTGTTTTAAAATTTTTGTGATTGTACTTCTATCAAGTCCGTATTCTTTCGCAAGGTCTTCGTCTCGAAGTTTAAGGTTCTCTCGTTTCTTTATGCATATCTCTTGTTTGGTAAGTGCGGTTATAGGGACTCTTTTCTTCTTTTGCTTCGGCTCTTGGGGCATGTTTTTTTTTTTTAACGAATTATTAATATTAAAAATAAGTTTGTTTTTTCGCAAATGTCACCTTAATTTTTAAACAATGTTTCCTAAGTCACAATTTATATCTGTAAATCAAGTAGATCAAATTTCAATTAAAATACCTGTTATTTATCAAAAATTTTTTTTAAACTTTTCCTAAAACAAGAAAACAAACGAGGCTCCCACAAAATTAATAGATCATCATTATTTAAAAAAGTGATAATCGTGATAATTTGAAATTAATATAAAAGAGAAGTTGAAAATAGACAGACAATGATTACAAAGAAAAAAAAAGATATCAATCATATCTTAAAACAAAGAATTCATCAACCTTATTGTTTTTTTTTGGTGTGACATTTGAGAAATTAAAATGGCCTTATTTAATTTCAATTTTATCCCCTCTTATGTCATAAATAAAAGAATTATCACACCACAGTGATAATGCTTTAAAATAAAAAGAAATACATTTATTTATTATTTATTTATACAAACATAAATATAAATGAATCATTATTATAACGAATACTAATTATAATAATAGTACAATACAAAAAAAAATAATTAATTTATAATATATTCTTATTATAATTATAAAAAAATCAAATAAATAAAAGAAAAAAGAGAAGATTGAGAAAACTGATTGATTGAAAGAGGATATATATAATAAATAATTCAGAATTTTGGCATAGATCCTATCTATATAAATACATACACATGACTAATATTATTACTACTTTCCCATAAATATTTAGAAATGATCTATTACTGATTTTGTAATTTTCCAGCTTCATTTTTCATTGTTTTGGTCGATATGTAAAAAAAAATGAATCATTTCCTTCCTAACCAATATATATGTATTTTTTTTTCATTAAAAAAAAAATCTAGCCTCCATATTTTAATTTTGTAATTTAGGAAAGAATTCACGTGAGGATGGATAGTGTGTGTATAATATTATATATTGTTTCGTTCTTTTTAACTGCAAAGAATGTGCAAATCAAAAAAAAATCTTTTTTTTGAAAGCCTGTGTGTGTGCCCATACTGCACATATAATAAATTCACACACAGATAGAATTATGTCTTCCCATAAACAATATAACTTCATCATCGTCATCGTCGTCGTCGTCATCAACATTGCTACTACTATCCACATTATTACGATTGTTGATCTTGGTATTATTGTTGCCTCCATCATTATTGTTGACTATATCTCGATTCAATCCATTAGGAATATTAGATGATAATAACTGAGATTCTACAACAGCTAAATTAGCATCAACAACATCTTCATCCTCATCCTCGTCCTCATCCTCATCCTCCACTTCTTGTTGTTGTTTGAAAGCTAAATGATTTTTAATATCCATATTAATTTTATTATATTCAATATCATGTACCATATTATTAGTAGTAGTGGTAGGAATATTAGGAACATGATTGTTATCAACAATGTTGATATCTGACCCAAGTTCAGCTGATGGTATTTTGGTATTAAAAACATCATTAAAATAACATGGCTGGGAAACCATACAATCATCATATATATCAAAATTAATTTCAATTCATATTAATTAATTGAGATGATCATTTCTTATTAAAACATTATAATATATATTTTCACTAACCTCAGATTCTGCAAGTTCACATGAATTATCAAAAACATCATAAATACGTGCATCATATTTTTCAAAAAATTCATTTTGATGATCAATTGAAGTCATTACTTGATCTTTTTTACTTATCTCAACACTAACTGGTGATGATGGTGATAGTGGTGATAGTGGTGATGATGGCGGTGATACTTTAGTACTAAAAACTCCATTAAGATGAAATAATTGGGAAACCTGTTAATTTTTGAAAAAAAAAAATCATTAATATAAACTTAATAATTATAATTATATAATTATCATATAGTTAACCTCAGATTCGGTAATTTTGCATGCGTCCACAAAAATATCATATATACGCATATCAAACTCTTCAAAAGGTTCATCTTGACTCGGTGTCATCACTTGATCGTTATTGATAAAAACATAATTTTTCAATATATAAAATCCATTCATTTCAAAATCTTCTTTCAATGGTACACTAAGTGGAATTCCTTTTTCATGAGGAAACAATTTCTCGAGCAAATTCATGAATTTAGCATATTTTTCCCAAAAAATAGTTATCTTTGTTAAATCTCCTTTCACATCGGAATCTTTGGAAATATCATTGGTCATCGATGATAAATATTGGAGATTGGCAAGAATCCATTTGGTACCAATACGTAAAGATGGCAAACTTCTTTTAACAGGTGCTGGTAAGATTTGAACCGCAATATTCTCGCCCATATGATCATGATCATAATTTTCATTTGATTTTTCATTAGAAACTTCCTCGAGTTCAGAAACGCACAAGTCCAATAAAGTTTTAAGCGTATCCAGAACCAATAAAACTGCGTATTTCTCAATAAGCATCTTTTTAGATGCTCGAGAGTATGCCGTTGTAATTATTGGACCATTATTATGTCCATTCTCTCCTATTTTAAAATTTAAATTTTAATATGCAATAGAAATAGAAATAGGAATTTATCTATTGAATAAACACGAACCATTTATAATATAACGAATCACAAATAGTGCTGACATGTTTATTGCTGTAATTTTAAGGATTTGATCAGAATCCAAAATACGTGTAAGTATATACTCTTTTAATTGATTCAAAACATTCATCTTCAAATCGGGATACAATTCCAATCTAGTATATACGTATATAAATAGTTTTTAGTAATCATTTTTTACACAACATATATTATTATCATACTTACTGATCTCTCAAGTATAAAACACTATGCAACTTAATAAAATCATTAAAGAACGGATTAAGAATTTCGCTGATTTTTGGTTTGTTCAAGTAAGTGAATGAAGAGGCTGATTGACGTTGATTAGAGAAACGTCGTCTGCCACCACCAACTCCACCCCTTCCATTATCATAACCGTTGTATTCTTGATGATGATTACTTTCATTCGTTGAAATGTCAGATTGGTCATTGGTAGATTTCATTGCTTTGTTGAATAATAAACTAATATTATCTTTAGCGGTCATAAATGGGTGCTTAACAGCGAGACTTCGATAATAATGATAAACTGCTGAAAAATTATCAGATTCATAATTAGCAATAACTGCTAATTGATTATGAGGATTACCTATTGTTTGAAATAGATAAATAATTAATAAGATTCAAAAAGAAAACATTAAATATAATTAATTATATCAACCATACCACTTTCAGGTATCAAATATCTTGCATGAGTATAATAATCGCAAGCAGTCGACCAATTTTTACGAGTTCTATCATTTTGTAATTCCCGATAACGTGCTAATAATAATAATAATAATAATAATAATAATAATAATCAATACTTGTTTTTTGAAGAACCTATTGTTTTTCAAAAATCGACGACATATAAAAATTGCTTACCCAAATCACCAAGAAAAATCAAACTTTTATGACAGCTAATTATAGCTCGTTTTTTAATATCATCAGAGTATAATTGTGGTGATACTTCACTATAATCTAAAGCATAAATAAAATAATCAAGTCAATATTTTTTCCATATATATTATATATGTGAGTTTTCTTGAAAAACAAATAATTAATTCCGAGAATTACCTATGGTCAATCCGTATTTTTTGATAAGTGGATACAATTGCCTTAATTCAAAATGAATTGCAAGTCTTTGTATAAAAAAATAATAAAATCCTGTTGCTTCATATAAAAAAGACCGGAATGCAGTAGTAAGCCTTCGAGGAGGTAGTTTATTCTTTCCACCAGATGTGGTTTCCTAAAAAAATAAAAATAAAATAATTCAATAATATAAAAAAAAGATTTGGTTATTATAAGAATTGTTAATTTCCTGATACTAACTGCACGAAGTTTCTTTCTGAAATCCTCAATAGCCTTGTAATAAACATATTTCCACAAGTTTGCCTCGACTTCTCTAGATTGAGCAAATTCATAATCAAGGAAGATTATATTCACAAATGTGTCTCTTAACCTATATTATTATTATTATTATTATTATTATTATTATTATTATTACTACGAATAATTATTAAACGAAATTTAAAAGTGTCTATATATAAATATTTTGTTTACTTTGAACGTAAGGTTGCAATCTGTTTGTCAAAAGGAGATTTGTGTTTTGAAAGAGAACGAAGTTGAGTTTCTAATTCCACGGAAGATCTAATCAAGAATAAATTATACGAATCAATTCAATAAAAATAATTGCGATGTTTAAGAAATCTCGAAATAAATGAAAATTACTTGTGTAATTCGATGGCAGTTTGATGATCTGTTAAAGACATTGTAGTTAATCAAGTCGAATTAAGAAAAAAGGTAATTATATAATGTCATACGTAAACTTTTAATATTTTTTTTATTCCTTGTTGTTATGTGACAATCAAATACAAATGTGTCGCATAACAATTGTTGATGTATTACGTAGTATACGCAGTATTGATACAAATTTTACAAGAAAAAATAAATACAATATTTAAAATTTTGATTACTAATTAAAATGATTTGTAATAATAAAGAAAAAATTTTTTTCTATAAAATTCTTTATAAATATTGATCAGAAAAATAAATTTTTTTTTATTATTATTAAATACAATCGGGTTGGTTAGAAATTTACATCAACGCCGATCATTTTCTTCCTTTATTATTTGAGAGAGAATATTATTATCTAAACCTAGAACTTAGAATAGAATAAAATGGGTCGTCGCCCAGCACGTTGTTATAGATATTGTAAGAATAAACCTTATCCAAAAAGCAGATTTTGTCGTGGTGTTCCTGGTAAATGATAATAATTGTCAATATAGTTTTTTTTTGATTTAAAATTAATTTATAATTAATTGATTGATTTTTAAATAAAGATCCCAAAATTAGGATTTTTGATTTAGGAAGGAAAAAAGCCAATGTTGATGATTTTCCACTTTGCATTCATTTGGTATCTGATGAATATCAACAACTTTCAAGTGAAGCTTTAGAAGCAGGACGTATCTGTGCCAATAAATATATTACCAAGGTGGCAGGAAAAGATTCCTTCCACTTAAGGGTTCGTGTTCATCCATTCCACGTTATTCGTATCAATAAAATGTTGTCATGTGCTGGTGCTGATAGGTAATTGATTAAATATTACGCGAATATTCATCAAAGTAACAATAACAATAAATTGATCAATCATTATCTTTTTTTGTTAAAAAGATTGCAAACTGGTATGAGAGGAGCTTTTGGTAAACCAATTGGTACAGTTGCTCGTATTGATATTGGACAAATTATTTTTTCTGTTCGTACCAAAGATAATAACAGAGCTGTTGTAACTGAAGCTCTTCGACGTGCCAAGGTAATCAAGATCATAATATAGGCATCTATTTTGAAATATTTATTATATTCGTACATTTGTTTAATTTGAAAAATTTTTTTTTTAATAATTCCATTCTAAATAATGATAGTATAAATTCCCTGGTCGCCAAAAGATTATTTTATCCAAAAAATGGGGATTTACTAAATTATCAAGAGAAGAATATGCAGAAAAAAGGCAAGCTGGGCTTTTACAACCAGATGGTGCCTATGTTAAATATTTATCTCATCATGGACCCCTTGTCAAACATCTTGATCAAATTATCGCTCAATAACTTGGACACTATTGTAATAAGTTAATAGTAAATGTTAGAAAAATTAAATTTTTTAATTTTATTTATAAATTAAAATAATTATTATCATCATCATTATTTTCTAAATAATTGTAAATATAAATTAAGAAATTACAAAACTCTAACATTTTTAAAAAAATTTTATTAAAAACAAAATCGATTGAATTAATTTTCTTCGAAAAAAAAGAGTAATATAATGAATAATTGTGCTAGTGTGAAAATTATAATTAAAATTAAAAACCCATCCAAAGAAAAAGTTCATAAATAAATATTTTATTATTCTATATTATTATAATTCTAATCGTTTATAAATTACTTTTTGAAATATTATTAGTAATATATCAAATTCTATTACAATACATATATAAATGTTGTTAACTTCCGACATATAATGTCCATGATATTCCCATTAATTGCTCCTGACTTTCAACTACACAATTAATAACAGATACGGGATCTCCCTCTTTCAAAGGAGCAGCCAGACATTGATCCAGTTGGGAATATGGATGAATAGTAAGTGCATCCTAATTATTTAGAGCAAAAAAAAAATTGTTATTATTATCACTGATAAGATATTATTACGATTGTTAGCAATATACCTCATAATTTGAATCACTATAACACCATTCTACATTTGTAGCGTTAACCGAAGAACTCATAGATAATGTGTTATCTTTTTTGTTCCATGATAATCTATTTCATTAATTAAATGTTCATTAATATTTATAAAATATTACTATTATTTATTTATTCTACATACATAGTAAGTTCAGGTCCATAAACCACAAATGGGTTTTTGCAACCATCGTAATTTTGCTGGAGCATTCCAAAGGAAAACTTATTTTGTGTTGAGCCACCATTACAATCTATTACTTGTAATGGATTCGTAGAAGTGTCCAAACATCTCCAAAGGTATTCTAAATAAAGAATACATAATACAACTGAATATTTAATTAAGAGTATGTATCATTAAACACAAATGACTTACTATTTTGTATCGTGTTCGAGTCAAGATTTATTATGGCGGGTCTACCATGTACATGATGTTGACGTGCTGCCAAGGTTTCATTGATTATAACATTTAAAAATAGTAACAGTAATAGAATAGGACTTGAGCAAAAGATTTTTTGAAACATTTCATAAAAAATTATATTAAAAGAAGTATTATAATAATGAAGGTAAAAAACAACGAATAAGAATTTTTATTATAAATTAAATTTAGAAAAAACGTTAATTAAATTTTCTGTAAAAGAAATAAATTCGCAGATCATAATTGAAAATAAATCTATCATATAATAATAAAGAATTCAATTAATCTCTTCGTTCACGAAACAAAAGTATACACCACACACATGCATATGATTTAATACCTATTTTCTAATCATTTTTATTCGAAATTTACAAGTTTGTTTCATAATATCGGTTTACATGATTATGAAATACAATCGTCAATTGTATTGCTAAACTTCTAGACATGGATGGATTCATCCAGCAAAAAACCATTATATATACTACAATATACCACAAACGGATAAAATTAAAGCCTTTTAAGGGTTTAATGAATCGTAAAAATGTGACTACCTAGGCACTTTTTTTACATGCAATTTACAGCAAATTTTTTTGTAAAGAATTTATTTATTTATTTATTGACTAATTAAAATATAACTTTATCAAACATATGTATTGTCTCTCACAAATTCTAGTGACAATTGATCAGTCTCTTGAAAACTCATTATTATTTATAATATTATATCTACTTCAGTCATAATTTGAGTGTCTTCAGATTGTAAATTGTAAAATTTTTCAATATCTTCAATATCATATATTATGTTCATTGATATTATTATTATCATCATATCTTTATAATCGATTTTAATCAAATTATGTTTACCACTATTGATTGTTTTTACATCTTATCAAATCCATCTACAGGATGTGAAACACCAACTTTCAAAATTTTCACTTTCCAAACATCAAATCCTACATCTTATGCATCATTTCCAAATCTTGGAGTGATTGTGACATAAATTTGATTCATCTTCGGTTGATTTATCCAATTTCACGAAAATTAAATTTTCATAATAATAATAATAAGGTTATTTATTACATGGAAGTTAGCAATCAAAAATTAATCATTACCATAATAAGGTTTGTTCAGTGAATGCTAGAAAAATGTGTTGATTCTCTCAATTGCAACTGATATGTTAAAGTACAGCATAACAGCTTTATCATTTAGCTTCTTACCAAAGGGTTTGGATTATCAACCAATTGCAACAAACAGCATGATAAATTGTATTATTTGGAAGCTAGTCTATCAACTTATAGGCTCAAGTGTTGGTTACATACATGAACTCATCATAATATTGATTAAATGACGCAATTAAGGGTAGTAGAAATAATACTTGGATGCAAACTTAAATCTATTTTCGAATCAATTGGCTAATCTAGAACCCGAAATCTCCTCCTTTTGTTAAAAGTATTGTAGCTATTGATACTTTTGTTTTTTTTTATAATAGGAATTGTGTAACAAAATTGATCGACCCAAAATGACTGATCACAATAATAATAATCTCTAAATTTTTTAAAATCGTGTATTTTTTATTATCTTATTAAAAATATGCAAGGAACCACGGAGCTAAATGTTCATCGTGTAAATATGAAGATTGCTAAAGTTCGCTTTGCGCTTGCACATGATGCTAGTCATATATTGTTTGCCGCAGGTTCCTGGGATCAATTAGAAGTGAGTAGTAATATTATTATTTCATATTTTGTAGTTTTTTTTATATGTAACTTATTCTCTAATTCACATATTATAGAAAAATTTCTTAACATTTTGGAGTACAGAAAAATATCATATTGGATTGCCTGATATGACTAGTCACTATGCAAGCAGGATGGTTGGAAAAATTGTACATAAAGGGGAGGTGACAGACATAAAGTTCTTGAATGAAAATATTCTTTTGTCAACTTCCTCACATGGACATTTAAATGTTTATAAATATACAATGGTAAAGTATCAATAAAAATGTTTAAAAAATTTTTTTTCCTTTTCACAAGAAAATTGATATAAATGTGTATTTTATTTTGACAGAAATCAAACGAGTCAGAACCTGGTGTAACTTCAGATGTTTATATTGAATATGAATTGGAAGAATTAATGAATAAACAATTACATAGCTTTCCAAATAATATCAATGCAGAAGCAACAGCAATTGCAGTTCAACCTAATGAGCTATATGACCCAGAAATTTTAACTGCAGGCGAGGATGGTAAACTTGTGTTTCTTAGACTTGGGAACCCAAATGATTCTCAGATCATACGTAAATAGATATACAAATATTTGTTTTTTTACAATAAAAATTGTGAATTCATTTATTTTTTCATAACAAAATCAAATCCTTTCTCACAATTGATTTATGTAGAAGTTGGCTCTTTTACAATCAAGGCAACAATATGGCCAAGTTCAGATCAAATTGTAAATAATTGGATTTTTTGATATTTGTTAAGAAATAAATTACTAAAATTTAATCTACTATTGTTTTTATTATATAGATTACTGCATCTAGTTCTGGTATATTAAAAATTTTTGACAAAAGAAACATACGAAAACCAACATTTAAATTTTATGAGTAAGGATTAAAGGGATATTTTCCTTAAATAAATATCTTTACATTCAAATCATAATCAGATTATCAAAAAAAAATATTCTTTTCAACTATAACCTAGTTCAGCTCATCCAAGAGATCCAGTTAATTGTTTAGCTGCTACTTCCTCTCATGTAATTATTTATATTTTAAAAAATCTTTTGATGAAGGCTAATAATAATAATAACAATAATTTTCTGAAAAGATTTATCAAGTGGCTTCAGGAAGTTCTGATGGATTTGTCACAATATGGGATGCAAGGAATTTGACAGTGCCATGGAAACAATTCAAACCAGATAGGAAAACAAAGAATGGTATAGCTTCATATTAATATGATAAAGATTATAATTCATTTATAATAACAACATGCATACACACATGTCTTTATTTTTTCCAATAGTATGGGAATTAATTTTTGATCCATATGATTCTGGTAAAATCATAAGTTGCTCTGAAGGTACAAATATTATTCTTATTTAATTCAAAATACAAAATTATGATAATTATGATAATTGTAAATATGTATATCTTTTTGGTTTTTGAATTAGATGGATTCATTGCCACAACAGATTTAAAAGACACATCATTGACTGAGAAACTAACAACTCAAAATTTTTCAATAAATTCAATTGATTGTCATCAGTATGCTAGAATTTTGGTTGGTGGAGGTGATAGTGCATATATATTCACAGGAGAATTGAACCTATGAGAGATGGAATTAGAAAGAAATTATTTTATTTTATAAATAATAATATTATTAGGTTAAAAAATTAGATTAAAAAATTGTTTTTTTGGAATCTCAATAGTAATTTGTGTAATTTAAGATTAATTTGTGGCTTGCCAATTAATGATATCTACAATGTGACAAAATAAAAATATCACATAGATAATAGAGAAAAACCTGAATTTAAATTTATCTCTCAACTACAAAAGCTTGTTATGCATCTATGTGAATTTGCCAATCAAAAGGAATTTCGCACCTATACATAGATAGACCAGGACTGATAAAGATTTTTTTAGTGCTGTTGTTAAAGTATACTGTTCTTTTTGTATTGTTATTAGAAATTTTTTTTGTGCAAATGTCTTGATTAGTCATTTTCGGTATTAGTATTTAGTATTGGTATTATATAGTATAAAATTCAGTGTGTGGATTGTGTTGTGTTAACCAATTTTGGAAATCATACACACGGTGAGATTTTAACAAATAATTATCAAATTTGGTTAGCATTGCACATTGCCAATTCTTCAATTATGGAATTTTAAACACCAACACCATAGATAAATTAATATTCAGGGAGAAGGAATGCAAAAATTTAACTACCTTAAAAGCAGAGATTGGTACTGCGCAAAAATTCTTTAATATTAACCATGAAAATTAATATTAATATTAATTGGTTAATTTTAGGAATGGTCCTATGAAAACTGAAATCTGCAAAAAGAAAGGGTCTGCTTTACTACATAGTGGTTGTATCTGTTGATTATTCAGGTGTTTGAGTATTTGGTCAATCAATAAAGCTCAACATCCAGATAATTGGTCAGTCAATAAAAACCCAACACCTGGATAATTGGTCATTCACCAAATATCCACTGAATGTCCATTGAATATTCATTGATTTATAATAATTATTTATTCCTCAGGATTCAATTTTATTCATTTGGCTGTCATTGTGTTTCAGCTTCACTAAATACAGTCAAACCTTGTCACAGCAGATGAGTGAAGATTTATTTAAAACCCATTGTGGCAAGATTTACTGATCTTGCCACAATGGACTTTTATGTTTTTATATTTTAATGTGAATGTGAAGCAAAAATTTTAAAAATACATTATAATTATAGTCTGCTGTGACAAGGTTTGGCTGTAGATGCTCATTTGGAGTAGAAGTTACTGCAATGCATAAATATTCTTTAAATAATAATGAGACAGTTGGTATTCATATTACTTGATATGTTATTATAATAGAAAGAATGTTGGTGATAGTGTAATAAAATAGTAATTCTTTCAATTACATGGATAAAAATTTTTATTCTTTATATTTCTGTACCACCAATTATTCAGTGAAAATTTTCAACACCCAATTAATTAATCAATGAAAAATTTTCAGCACCCGACTAACCAGATAATTGGTGAATAATTGGTGAATATCATTTGGCAAATACAACCACTAGTACTACAATTAATTGGATTTGCTTAGTAATAAATCATATATGGGGAACATAATCCAATAAAGTGAACAATTTGAGGGCTTTTCAACAGAAACAGACCATGTTGTGAAAAAAGTAATTTTGAGTTAATATTATTGCTATATGTAAATTCTCATGTAGAACATTTTTTGCTTAGAAACTATATCCACTTTACTTAATAAAATTTTGGGTTATATTTCCACTAAAGTTTTAAAAACAATAGTAAATTACTTAATGCAGATATTTTTTTTAATAAATGCAAACCTGATCTTAGCATTACAAATTTGAGTAATATTATTAAATAATCATAATTATGTATATTGTATTAATTTTTTAATAATTATTGTAAGGTGGTGAAGGATGTGTATAACATTTTCTAATATCAGTCCTTGATGGACCTCTGCCTGGAATTTTATTGAAATGGCTTGAAAATTCAGTGCTAATTTTTTTGATGAGTTCAACATTGCTTTTTATACAAGTCCTTACTCTAAACATAGTTTCTATGAATCTTTGCAATTCTATTTTTTGATATACTTTTTTTTATATGGAATCTCTAGATCACAAATTTCTCTGACTCTACCAAATGGATTTGATGGAAAATCAGCAATATATACCTTGATACTTTTACCTAGTTATTTTATGGTAAATCAATATATGATATAGCAAAATTTATCATATAATCAATTAAAAAGATAAACTTCAACTCACAACAACTTTGCAATAGAATATCTTAATACCAGAAATTTGCTTATGATCAGGTAAATAACTGCTTTATTTTCGACCACTACAATACATTTCTTTGTCTATTTCAAGGAAGTTAGATAGCTGCTTTCTGCTTTTGCTGATTCCTAGAAAGCTTTCTAATCAGATGATCTAAACCATACTACATATTAAATATATAAAGAAACTTCAAGTAAAAAAATGGTTTTGAAAATTCAAAGTACTCTGTATGACAACAACAATTGAAGATCTGAAAAATGCTATGGTGCCAATCATCTAAAGACATCAAAAATTTTGGATAAACTTTAAAATGTATAAGCTCAATGACCATGCAAGATAAAAAAAAAACTCTATAGTTTTATTCTATAAGACATAAGGAAAGATGCAATAAGTTTTTTTAAATTTTATTAAAATGAAGAGAGTTATGATGGTTTAAAGTTTGTCATTTTTACTATTAAAAAAAAAATTTCACCACTGATCATTACTCTATTTAAAGAATATTTTCACAATATAAAGAAGTGTCACGTGATAGTTGTGACTTGTGAAATTCCACTAAAACAGATTCGGGAACTCTTCTATGAGAGAGATACTTTTTAACTGCAAAAATAGCAGTTTTACCAGAAAGCCCCATCTTGCAAATTTACGAATTTTACAGAGAGAAATAGGATTAAGAGCCAATGACACAGTTTGTTGTAAACCTTCCCAAGATTCTAATTCTGTAGTTAAAGGTAAATCTCTCCAGTCATCATCAGATTCAATGTATTGATAGATCAACTCTTCGATTTCTAATCCAGGTTCATTTACATCTAATTCATTCAAAATGTTTGTGTCAATCTGAGATTCATTTTCAAACACCTCCTTACCAATATATTCATCTGTAATGGGTTTAATAGTTTCTTTCATTTTTTTACTTTCATGAGCTTTTTGTAAATGTTGATCTCTTTTATTCTGTTTAAGCATTTTAACAAAAAAAAAAAAGAAATAGATCTGAATTAAAAAATTGTTAATGATTTTCATATGGTGCGCGAAGCCTATAACCACCATTTTTGCACGTGATTTTTGAAAGAATAGAAGTCCGTTTCTGTTGATCCTT